TAAAGTGATGTCCGTGCAAGAGAATATAGATTCATCCCCTCCGTTCGTTCTTCTGATTAGTTCAGTACAAAAATGCGAGGTTAAAAATTCGATTCAATTATAAAAGACGACGATCTTCAGTTCTTGAACCGTCTGAAAAATGTCCGTAGGCGGCAATATCAAAGAACACGTGATCCTGCCGTGAAAGTTATCTGGCGGGATTTGCAAAAACACATTAACAAGCGATTCTCTGCCCTGAGGAACAAACATTTTGAAAATAATGGTTCGAAATTACACCTTAAAAGCCTATTCATGGCCGGTAGTGCTGATGCGATATAATAGTAGTGACTTTAGTGACTAAAATTACTGGAATAGTGACCAAATAGTGACATGTAACTACTAAATAAGTAACCATTTATATGGTAACTTAGAAATTCAAATACGGTATGATATTGAAATAAACTTTTTATGTCGTGGAACTTAAAGTCAAATTTCATAAATTCCTCTAATTTAATCGAAGCTCACAACGGAATTTCCTGTGAAGAGCATTTGAAGTGATTTGAATAATTTACTTTTGCTTACGTTATATGATACGTTATTAGATGACTAGCAATTTCCATTTTTTAATGATCTTGTGTTTGATTCTGCGTTCGAGATCTTTTAAATTTTGATATATCTAGGTAGATAACTTTGATAATTAGCTAAGAACTTTTCTCAGAATTTATTCAGAATTATCTCAAGAACTTTTTTATAATAATTCCCCTTCTCTTAAATTTAGAGGCAAATAAGCTTTTACAAAAATAATACTGCATTCTTGATTTTTTTGCAGAACAGTCAACAAAATTCTTGGAAATAGATTATTTTCGTAGTTGGAAATGCTTAACATCAAATATCAGAATTAAAATGGACATTTTAGACGATGGATGAGGAGATGAAAGTAAAGAGTTGATAGTTCCGTTATAGTACGGCAGTGTGAAATTTGTATGTAGAAAGTAGAAAGCGAACAAATGACAATTTTGAGGAAGGTACAAATCGGATAGAGAATCTCCTTTACCAAGCTCATCCGTTAATGAGGAATGGTGAGGGGTGTTTCCCCCTGCCATCACTGGCAAAAGGGATGATCGCCGATTTGCTCATGTACCTCCGATGTGCGGAAACAATTATATCGATTGTTTCACACTCGATTCATACCTCAAAATTGTCCTTTGCTCGCCCGCTTTTTACTTTGTATATACAATTTTCACATTTCATTGCCGTACTATAACGGAACTATGAACTTTATAATTTAATCTCCTCATCTGTCGTATAAAATCTCCACTTTAAGTCTGATATTTGACGTCAAGCATCTCCAATTCTGTACATCATTAAATTCACGCATGAAGTAATAACACATGAGTAGTTAAAGTGGTACTTTCGATTTTGTATTGATTCTTCTAGGAACTCCCTGAAGGCCCCTTCCATAAATCCATTTAAAATGTATGTGAGTTCTTCTTAGAATTTCCATGCAATTAACCTCAGAAATTTCATAAATTTCTGCTTAGAATAATCTTGGACTTCTTCCTTGCATTCAATTGTAAATTTAATTCGTTAGAATTCCCATAGTATTTCCTCAGAATTCTCAAAACAAAAATCCACCACAGAATAACTTTGAAACTTTTCTTTGAGATTGAACCTTTAAAATTCGATTCCATTTAAATTATAGGAATTTATTTCTAACTCTTTAGAATTTTCTTGGAATTTCAGAATTTATTTTGAATTGAGGGGGTTAGAGGGAAAGGGGTGTAAGTGACTTTGATCGATTCTCTTCATCGACTTTCTCTTTCGTTAATAATTCAGCTGCAAACACATTCCTTGATTCGTGTGCCATTCTGGATGCTAGATGAGAACCTCCTTTGTCAAACTATGTGGCAGAAATAGCACAAAATCTGTTTATAAAGCTGTGACTATCAAAAGAGAAAGTGGATGAAGAGAATAGATCAAAGTCACTTACACCCCTTTTCTTCTAACCTCCTCAATTCTTATTAGAATTGGACCTAGAATCCTCATCAAATCATCATAGAATTCTTCTCAGAACTCTCGTTAAATGCACTCTCAATTATAATGGAATTATTTCCAAAATTGTTTCGGAGTTGAATTTTGCGTCTCTAATAATTTAAACAATAATCAAAAGCGACGCTGGTATGTGTTAAGCCAAGTTTAACTATACATATAGGCAAACCTGGCTTAAGATTTAAGCAGAGATGAAGAAATCAGTCGTCTCGATGAGTCTCATCGTCGCCCACTGGTCACCATAGCCGGTCGAACTTCAGACGAATCTAGAACCGTTCATACTGGCGACAACGCTCTGATGAGACAACGAAACCCTACTCCCGAGCTCCTCCCCTTTTCCTATCCTTCGACAATGTACCCCTCTAATCTCGAGTAAGCCGCGAGTATTCGATCCAACTCCTACTAGACATAGAATTAAGTGAATTTTGTTACAAGCAAAGAACAATGAATTATCGGCTCCGTAAAGCTAACGCGATTGAGCCTTACAAATAAACGAACTAGATGAAAAAAAAAAGAAATCAGTCCTCAGAACACTTAATTTTACATGAGACTTTCGTAGTCTGTACTTTGGTATTCTCCTCTGATATATCTTGGTGTCATCCCTAGAATCCTTTAAAAGTTTCTTAAAATTTACTTTGGATTTTTCAAAGTTCTTAATCATCCATTGAAAATCTATCACATACCTTTGGAAAGTTTTAAAGGTTTACAATTTATTTTCTGGGAAAAGAGATATCGGAGAAAATGATTTTTAATCGAAATTGAAGGCATTTCCCAATAGTTTTCCTGGTGTTCTTAAGTTTTGCGGTTCACTGGTCAACCTGGTAAAAATTTGAAGTTCAACAGATATGTATATTTTGTTAAAACTCCTGTAGACTGTCTTAGTGCCAAGTACTAAATTTAAACATTTTGTTGATATTTTTAAATTTTACTCTATTTTAGTAGTGAAAAAGTGACTTTAGTGACTATTTTTAGGGAAATAGTGACTTAAGTGACTTTTTGGTGTAAAAAGTGGCTTTTTAGTGACTGACTTCAAAATAGTGACCAAGTCACTAAAAAGTGACCTGCTACCAGCCCTGCTATTCCAAAAAAAATTAACTGGCAGAACTCTACAGGTAAATAATTAAAATCCCAAATCTGAACGACTACCTGTTAGAGCAGGATTTCCTGAGGGTAGCATTCTTGGGCCTATATTGTATAACATTTTCACTTCGGACCTCTCTGCGTTGCCTCAGGGTTGTCATAAATCTTTGTTCGTTGATGACACAGGCATTTCCGCTAAAGGAAGAAGTCTGCGTGTCATTTGCAGCAGAAAGCAGAAAAGTTTAGATATGTTCTCTTCTTATGTACAAAAATGGAAGATTTCTCCCAACGCTTCCAAAACTCAACTTATAATATTCCCGCATAAGCCTAGAGCTTCCTTTTTGAAACCTAGTAGTAGTTACATAGCCACTATGAACGGAGTTCCAATTTCCTGGTCAAACGAAGTGTTGTCTTGGATTAGTGTTTGACCAAAAATTAACTTTTAAAGATCACATTGAGGGCAGTCAAGCCAAATGTAACAAATTTATAAAATGTTTGTATCCTCTTATAAACAGGAAAACCAAACTTTTCCTGAAGAATAAACTTCTAATAATTCCTCCCTGGTAAAGTACTACTAAGTACTACCAAATGCTCAACAAAATAATTAATATTTTCAGGCAAAAATCGTTGCAATCCTCAATTGCAACGATTAATTGCCTTTATATTTAGAAAAGATTTAGTTTTAGTTTTTAGTTTTAAGATGACAATTGTCATACTGACTACCCAAGGCAGGAACAATGTAAAAACACTTAGATGTATATCATAACAATAAAGTTTAGTGAGTCACTCTAGGAGCTGGAGCTCCTAGATTAAAATGAAATGTAATTTAACTTAAATTGGTTGCAAATTTAATCAAGCTCTGCAAGCATCTCCAATTTCAATTACTAAAATACATGATTAATGAAAACCTGACACATTATAACACCTACCCAGTCCCCGAAACGATGTTGGATTCAAATTTCAACCTGACAACAGAGTTTCGTTACAGTCAATATTCCACTTAAGCAATGCGCGATTCCCTACAGCAGAGGAGCGCAGCGACCAAGCGACTTTTCCGCACACACACACACACACACTCTACATTCACATTTGCAATCATTTGTGCCATTCTCCTGCGTTCGGCGTCGCTGTGCCAACCCCTCGCGGCACGCTCGATCATCCGACCGTCGCGTCTATCACATTCACTGGCCGACTACGCTCGAGACCCTCTTGACGTTCGCTCGGAGTCGCATCGCCGCCCGCCCGAGAAGAGGCATAAAATTGTGCAGAGAAAAATATTTAAATTATTTACAGCTATTTTATAATCAGTATTTCATGGCATTTTACATTTGCCGTTTTGCCACCGTCGCCGTCGTCGTCGTCCCAAGTTCCAACCCAACAGACGACGATCAACGCGATCAAGTTCTGAGCGAGTGATTCTCTCCTCGCTTGCTCGCGCTCATTCTCTCGTGATGCTCGCAGCAGCAAGCGGCTGTCCCTCATTCCATTGAAAACCGTGGAAATCAAGGTGCGAGTGTGAGTGAGGCGACTCATAGGAGGCGGTGAGAGCGGTGGTGGGTGGGAACCCCACCTCCCGATTGACATATAGACGACGAAAGAATGTTGAACATTCCACTTTTTTTGCTGCTGTTGTTGTTGGTACTGTTGCTAGTGTACCTACATACATACTTGTTTTCACTTAAAATCACCACTAGCGAATGCGGTTCTGTTGAAACGTGAATTTTGCGAGAAACGCGATTTTGAAAAGGTGAAAATTGGGCTGGCACTGCTCTGCTAAATTTGTTAGCAAATTGTTTGACATTTTAACCCTAGGGTCCTAGGGTGGACTCCCGTTGGTCACCTAATGATTGGTTGTGGGTTGTTGAACTAAACTATTTTGTTGTGAAACTAACCGATAACACTCGTCGATCGTTGAAAAACGCTCTTCCTTAGGCCTCGACCTAATCCGGAGCCTTTGGTTCGCGCGTGTGGTATGTAGTACAAGGCGCCAATGGGATAAACACTGAAACGTTTTGTCCACAACGTTTCTGCTGCTGCTGCTGCCGTTCGAAAAACGTTCGAAAGTATGTAAAAGGCAGCCCTCGCGCGATGAAAGAAAACTAGTTTCCTCCTAAATATGCGGTCCACCACGACACCGTTGCTGCTATTGCTATTCTTGTTTCACTGCTTCACGATTGCTGCTGTTGCTGCTGCTATTGCTGGCGGCGACACTGTTTTGGAGCTCCGTAGCACTCTATACTAAGCTTGATTAAAACTCACTAGAAGCGACGACGATACACACAGCAGGAGCAGAAAAAAAAAACACAGAAACGAATGTCCACGACGGAGGCGCGATACACCAAATGACACATTCTCTCTTTCCCAAGAGGCGATCCGAAAGCAACTGACACCACCGCCACGCCGAACCAGCAACGAAAAGCGCTGAGCTAGTCGGAATTGGAAAAGCAAACACCACCACTACCAGTGGGCCTACTTTAGCTCGCTCAGCATAAACATTCGAGTCCAATACCGAAGTAACCTATGCAATGTGAACACTCAAATCAAAAATGCAACATGTCATTGCAATTGTCACCGATGCTCGGCGTGAATCACGGTTGCTCCGATCAAATGCCTGCCAAAAAGAAGGAAACACTGAAATCTGTCAAAATCCGCATTGAAGTCTGGCAGGGATCGCAATCTTTTGCTAGAGCCACCCTTTTCGGGTGTACAAGTATGCGAGAGGCTACTCTCTTTGCTGCCCCCCAAACCAGCTCTGAATCTCTCAGAGCGAAGTTCCCTGATGATGGCTCGTTGCAGCGGCACATTTTTCCTCCAGTAGGTAGCTATCGGTAATTTGAAACTTTTGCTACGGCATGCAACAAAAGCGTCAACAAAGTGCACCAAGCGACAACGACGACGACGATAGCTTCCATGCCGAGTTGCATGTCTGAAAAGTGCGAACGATAGATCTGCAAGTTTCGGAAGCATGGTTTGGCTGAAGGTCTGTTAATAGTATCCAAGGCCTTCATCAGAACTTATGCAGATCCACGCAAAAAAAAATCAAGAGACTCCAGGAAAACAATTGCATTCTCAAAACACCCCTGGAACTTCTGGACTCACAAGTGAGTCCCTGCGGCTGAAGATTCCGTCGACATTTCTTTGGAGAGTTTCCCCCCACCCGTTCGTGTTACTGGCAGAGGTGGTAAATGTCATGGAAATGCTATGGGTTAAAAATTTCGTGACATTAGTTTTCCCCATACAATGTAGTGGTGACATCTCTGCAGTTAAACTGTACATTTACCACCTTCGCTGTTGCTGGTATGCGTAAGTGAGTTCCGATTCAACGACTGAAAAGTATTAGATGTTTGGTTAGCTTTTTACGTCCCTACTGGGATTAAACGTCGGATCTAAACACATCCCGAAAAATGCATGGACTGAGCTGGGAATCGAACCTAGCCGCCTCCAGGATGATCTTGCTGAATAGCTGTGTCTTTACCACTTGAGCTAAGGGAGACCCCCTCGAGGATCCACAACATCCGTAAAATTAAGTGCTACTTAATTGTTGTATTCCTGGATTTGTCTCTATAACAATATACTGATATATTTATCAGCTAGTCATAGACTCTGAGTGGTCATGGTCAAGATCCAGAACATCCGTAAAATTCAGAACTTCTTATATTTGATTGTAGTATGCCTTGATTTATCTCTATAAATATATGAAATGTGACAAAATGTTGATTGTTGATATATCAGAAAGGGGACACTCAACAACTACGTAAGCAGTTAGTGGGGAGGGATATTTGACATTTCTAATGTTTCCTTACATGGGAGGAAGGGGGTGTCAGACATATCTAACAACTCATATACAGACCATACCAAGGGGTAGGTCACTCCGCACACCAATCTTGGGTCATATTTTAGGACAGTGTGCCGCAGGTTTGCCGATTGTGCCGGTCATAGAGCAAGCTGCGATTGTTTATGAAGAGCTTTGAGTGGGTTGGTTTATTTCCTTTAAATTCCGTTGTAATTGCTTATCTTTTGACAGATACGCGTATTTCGTCTACTACTTGCAGACTTCATCAGTGTCAAGTACTCAACACCACTGAAGAATCCATCTTTTATCTACGAGTTATATACTAAACGTAGATGGATTCTTCAGTGGTGTTGAGTACTTGACACTGATGAAGTCTGCAAGTAGTAGACGAAGTACGCGTATCTATCAAAAGGTAAGCAATTATAACGGAATTTAAAGGAAATAAACCAACCCACTCAAAGCTCTTTATAAAGGGATTCCGTTAAGAGGTTGGACAAATTTAAAGGATTGCGATTGTTTGTAAAATACCCATCCCGGCAACCCGGTATTTCTGACACCTGGAATGTTTTGGTTTGAAATCGCACTGATCGGATTAAGGATTAAGGATGACGCGGGAAGTGGCGGGTGTGCGAAATTTTGGTGTTTTATGTTCTCACGATAATAAAAGCCCTGTGTTTTAATAATAATACCCTCAAAGGTATAACAGAAACCTAGCCTATCGTGCTGTGACAAGCAATGGTCTATCAGCGGCCGGAAAGAGATGGAACCGGTAGGGAACATTGTTGGAGACCGACAATAAAGGATGAATAGATTTCTGTGGTTAGTTTCGTGTGAGCTGCATCATTATTTGAATTAAGGGTATTAATGGGGTCTGAATAACCACCTCTTTCTCTTGAGCCCACTCTAGAACCTAAATTTCGTACTTAGATCTAAAAGTGAACTGCTTGTCTGAGTTCCTCTGGTATATTCTGTAACAGTAAACCTGCTAGAAAGTAGACGACCCAAATTCAAAGCGGTACAAACGGAACGATACGATACCCAAAATCGCCACTTTCAGGGGGAATATGTTACGTATGGCTTTAACGGATTCTGGTACTCAGAGATGAGACGGAATCAGGCTAGGTTGTAGTAGTTTATACCGGACCCTTTCTAACCCGGACCAACGTTGACCAAAAACCCTGAATCGAAATCAACAAATCCGCTTAAGCGCCAACACATACAAAAATGTGATGCGGAAATGCGTGTTTAAGTTTGCCAAGCTAGCTCACTCAGGGCGGGTCTAATGTACGCGATCAAACTCATGCAATCAACGTGTGTCAAAAAAGAGATTAATTCACTAAAAGCATTCAATCAGGTTCATTTAACTATGTATATTTACGGGATCAAAGGTTGAGATTGAATTTGCAGGTTGGTTCTCGCTCACAAAGAGAAACTAAGTGTGGGCAAAGAATATAATTTTGGAAGCTACGTATTTCAGGTTGTTATTTGATACATGATAATAAACTTAAAACTAAAGCGCTCTAACCTTTTCTTTCGATGGCAACCCGGGTTACTTGCTGCTGCTGATGCACGTGGAGGTGATCGAGGTCGGCGGAATGCCAACGCCGTTGTTGCCAATCGCCAATCGGAGTGACGATTCGTTCGCTGAAGCGGACGGCCGGAAGCCGCGTGGGTAGCGTTGTTCGACTGCGGGATCGCTACAGTTCGATCGACGGCCTATTGCTATCGGCCGGGGGCCACAGCGTGCTCTTCGATGTGCTACGAAGTCACGGCGGTGGGAGTCGAGCCTCTCGCGGATCCCGTTGGCTACCCGTGCCGACGAGTGGTGCCGACAAAGGTTCGGAAACGTAGGCGGCGGAGCGTGAAACGATCACGGATTACTAGCGGTCGAGGGCCGCGGCGTGGCTTGCGTAGTGCTGCAGAAAGCAGAGAGCACTTCTTCGGTGGGTGACCACCGAACGACGGAAAGCACTAGAGGGCGTGATCCGAAAACGCACTGCACACCGAGATACTTTGGTGTAAGATGGCTGCTGTGTGCTTGTGTCGACCACGAGGTGGAACGTCGATGACGCCGATAGTTTTCGGTCCCCACCAAGAACCTTCTTTCGAAGGATTGACCTTCGAAACGTTATTAACCTAATTAATTTCTTGCCACACACTTCACTGAATTAACTAATTACCTGGTATGATTCACCGAATCGATAATCTCGGTGATACACTAGCACTATAAATTTAACTATTTGTCTGATGGTGATATCTATCACCCAAAACACTACATTAGAATTTTTATTATTTAATTCGATTAGGAAATCACTTACTTTTCAAAGTACCGATCTCCCGCACTTGACAGTGCCTTAGCACTCACTGCTCGGTAACTTTATAATTTACGGTTTAGCTTTAAATCTTCTAACTGTCTAGCTCGATAGCCAACTTGCAGATGATCTCACCACGCGCAGAGTCGTGTTTATATCCCCTCTGCATTTTACACGCGGCCGATTCTGATTGGCTGCTTTTGTTGCATAATCTTTTCTTATCAATCTGTAGATTGCATGGTATGAGAGGGAGACAGCTGATGTCTCAATACATCAAGAACACGAACGCTTCGCGATGGGTTTGGTTGTTGTCCGCGCTAGAAATAACGATAATGGGGTGTTACGAATGATCGTAACGCCAATATCAATCTAGCCTCATTATGAAGCGTCTCCGATATGCTGTCAGTCTGATGATAGCTAGCGGAGGCGTTACAATTCAAATAGAGGATGTTCCTGAATATACAGTCAAACAGCACGTAATGTTGTGAACAACTTCAATGACAGTTGTCCAGCAGTGCTCCCATTTTATTTACAACAATCCAATGCCTACGAGATTGTGCCGAAGGTATGCTGAAGGTGTGCTCAAGCTGTGCCGAATCTAATTTCGGCGCAATGTGCTGAGTGACTTACCCCTTGGACCATACACATATTCGATTTATGGTCTTAAAAATTTAGGGAGGGGGCGTTTGGTAAATAGTACTAATTCTTACACAGGGGGAAGGGGAGTCTTAAAATCCCAATAAATTGCTATCGTTAGAGGTCTTCAGAAAAATAAGTAACTAATTATAATTATTCATTGAACATTATGAAAGTCGTTGATCATATTTCTGATCAGCCTACTTTCTTGCGGGAATATCTAAAAGTCATTATTTGATTTATTGAACAATGAGAGATCTTCATAATAATTACCAATTAACCAAAATAATTGATAAAATATCCGGAGACCGTAGTGCAGGCACCCGGTGGAAACTAACGATTTTAAATTGGCTCACTACTTGACTAGCCTGTTGGTCCCAAGCAAACGATTAACGCACCCCATTCTAGTTGACATTCTAGTACAACACTATGTTTGTTTTGATTTGCTATGAAAGTTTGACAGATAAAATGAGGGGTTATTGGTTTTTCTTATGTTTCGAGGGATGCATCGATTAGCTTAGGACCGAAGATAGTACCAGAGTTAGCCAAAAAGTTGAGCACGTTTCTTCGGGACCTTCTGGTCTTAGAGTTACCTCTATGGTGCAGGTCTACCAAATAACAATCTT